GTCCATTATTGCTCTAACAATTCAAATGCATCTTGAGGCATCCCACGTCACTGGTGTACCACACTGTTTGTGTTTCACAGCTAAAAAAGCCATTCATCATCACAGAGGATCATAAAGCAGCAGAGGGTTTATATGAACTAATCTGATACAAGAAAAGATTACTCTCCTGAGTCTTTAAAGCATCTCAATAAAAGCCCTTCACTGAACTGCCCACCCTTTGGCATTCACTGAATTTGAATGAGCTGGAAAACACGTGCTCACTCTCTTGTGAACACAGTAGAAGCATTTGCCACACTCTTATTCCAAGAAAAATGATATTCCATTGGGATTATTATGTATAAGAAATACATAAATAATAAGAACATACATGGATAGTGACGTTTTTTTTCAAGGATAAAACTTTATCACAGTTCTTGCAGAGGTAAAACACATTCATATACATTCACACCTTACACTTAGTGAATATTAGGCAGTTTTTCTATATTTTCATCGTTTTTTAATCAGTTTTCAGAACAGCGGTACATAAAACATACACTTTCTATTGTCATCACTCTTTAAGATGTCTCAACAACCCCTTAATAATAAACCCCGAATAGAAAACGCTTGCATTATTACAGTGCCATAAACTAAACAGAGCTCTGCTACTCTCTCAATACACTTCGTTAAGTCAGATAGTTGAGTCTGACTGTTTTAGGTCTCCTTTATGCAGATGTTTCTAAAAAGTTAACTTTTACAGCATGTCACACTAAAGTCGGATGCTTACCAACAAGTCTCCTTGTTGCAGACGCTGTTGCTTAAATTGTCGCTGAGGCGCGGATTCGCGAATTCGGGACACGTAGCAGAATAACAACTAGAGCTGCTCCGCTGCTGTTACATTCCAAGAGTTCTTTCGCCAATTTAAAGCAATGTAACTGTGTTACTGTGTATCACACGAGCTGTTCGACACCTCGCGTAAGAGCCGTGTGTTTATTTAATGTACAAAAGGCAGGAAGGAAGTTAAAATGACAGTGAGTCTGAATTCAACAGAACAGGCAGAGCCTCCCTGAGCTCTTTCGCACATTGAGCACAAGGGGAAGAACGAGGCTTGATGTCTAAGACTTCAGCTCAGAAAAGAAGAGCTCCATTTGATTTATTACTTTATTAACTAGACTGCTGAATATATGGATGCTTGTTTGGTTTCTTGTTTTGTTTACGACTATTTAACAAATCTACCAAAGGTTTGCAGTTTGCACCCACTTGACTGAATGTATGTTTTTATATTGAGGCTTAAGCTGTAATATATATTATAGTAGTATATATATATATATATATATATTACAGAGAAACATATATAATGCAAATAGCAATTTAATTAATATTTAATTATTGTATTATAATTACATGTATTTTATTTATGTATATTTATATTTTATTTATATTATGAATATTTATGTGTCTGTGTATATGTATAATATTTATATATTCAAGTGAAACATAATAATGCAAACATTAATTTAAAATAAAAATTGTGTTTTACATAATTATTGTATTATAGTTATATTAATGTATTTGTAGTTTTGTATATTTTATATATGAACTGATATACCCACTTTAAAATATTTAATATTGATATAAAAATATATTAATTATATAATAATATATGATTAGCAGGTTATAACAAAAGATACAACCAAAAGATCTATCTTGCTCTCTTTCTCTCTACTTACATTTTCAATATTTGATTCTTAATATAATGTGTAGTCGTTCTCAATCCAGAATTTAATTGCATCCTCGCTGTTAAGCATTGTATATTGTAGTTATATGTGCTGATATTATTAATGAAAGTTGTTAAGTGTTACCCATAAATTCTTTTAACAACCTGTATTTGTAGTTTGAATGACTCACCAACTAAGCAGAAGAAGGGTCTTAGTAGCTCAGTGGGAATGTCTTCTCTGATGTATGTTCATGAAAACCATAGGCCTAGACTCTGTCAAAGGTCAGAAAGGAAGAAATGAAGCCAGTTCTTTAACTGACCTGCTAATATATAGCTCACCTACCACAATAATTCCTATTACTGCTCCCAATGTACAGTATGATAACATCACTCTGATTGTCTCTCTTTCGCTCTGATGCACTGATGACCAGCTCCACCGAACAAAGGAAAGTGTGTCATATGCACGAGTAAAGTGGATGGAAAATATAATGCTTCGGTGGCCACTCTGATTTGAATGAGACGGGCTTGCAGATAGGTGGTATGAAAATAAATGTTCCATCCTCTATAATTGAGACGGAGTGCATGACCATGTTCAACAATAAGATTCCTTTCTTTAAAGTATAGAGCTGTCTCAGATCTTTCGAAGTTTCAGGATATGGGCAACATGTGAGCCCTCAAGCCAACATAATTCATTTCCACCAACATTTCCCTATCAACTGCAGCAGCTATAAAGTCATGACCGTGCAGTCGTAGAGCTCATATATATTAATTTCAAATGAGTTAGAAAGAAATCAGCTATGCCCACATTAAAATAAATAAGCATTAAGACTGAGAAGTTGCACAATGATGGTCTTTCATTAAAACACGTTTGTTAAAATTACTTAATAATATTTGAGTATTGCATTAGTTGATGATTCTGCCTTGCAGAAGAAGTGTGAGAAATGGTCTCTACAAAGCTTTGCATATATCTAAATGTATTATGTTGATGCACCATTGCAAATGCTTATTTTCCCACACAAGTTATTGCTTACTTTATGTCAACACACAGTATGTTTGATAAGTTTATGTTTCATTAAGTGTAGTGTCCAGCTTCATCCAGTAAAGCACTTTTTTTCAACATGCAGGCCACAATATAGGCAACACGGAACAGTAGACTAACCTATGGGGAAAAAAACTCAGCTTTAATTTAGAGTTTTAACATGTCATTGATTATAGATTAAATTGTCTTCATTAAATTCAATAAACAAATGAATAAAGGAAAATTCATATTTGTCATCTAATATTTGAGGACGCTACTCATCACAGAATCATAATATATGACATGTATTCCACCTAGCGGTAAAACACAGTAAATGCAACTATATTTTAATATTTTATTAATAGAATAGAATAGAATAGAATAGAATAGAATAGAATAGAATAGAATCAAATAGAATAGAATAGAATAGAATAGAATAGAATAGAATAGAATAGAATAGAATAGAATAGAATAGAATAGAATAGAATAGAATAGAATAGAATAGAATAGAATAGAATAGAATAGAATAGAATAGAATAGAATAGAATAGAATAGCTCACCTACCACAATAATTCCTATTACTGCTCCCAATGTACAGTATGATAACATCACTCTGATTGTCTCTCTTTCGCTCTGATGCACTGATGACCAGCTCCACCGAACAAAGGAAAGTGTGTCATATGCACGAGTAAAGTGGATGGAAAATATAATGCTTCGGTGGCCACTCTGATTTGAATGAGACGGGCTTGCAGATAGGTGGTATGAAAATAAATGTTCCATCCTCTATAATTGAGACGGAGTGCATGACCATGTTCAACAATAAGATTCCTTTCTTTAAAGTATAGAGCTGTCTCAGATCTTTCGAAGTTTCAGGATATGGGCAACATGTGAGCCCTCAAGCCAACATAATTCATTTCCACCAACATTTCCCTATCAACTGCAGCAGCTATAAAGTCATGACCGTGCAGTCGTAGAGCTCATATATATTAATTTCAAATGAGTTAGAAAGAAATCAGCTATGCCCACATTAAAATAAATAAGCATTAAGACTGAGAAGTTGCACAATGATGGTCTTTCATTAAAACACGTTTGTTAAAATTACTTAATAATATTTGAGTATTGCATTAGTTGATGATTCTGCCTTGCAGAAGAAGTGTGAGAAATGGTCTCTACAAAGCTTTGCATATATCTAAATGTATTATGTTGATGCACCATTGCAAATGCTTATTTTCCCACACAAGTTATTGCTTACTTTATGTCAACACACAGTATGTTTGATAAGTTTATGTTTCATTAAGTGTAGTGTCCAGCTTCATCCAGTAAAGCACTTTTTTTCAACATGCAGGCCACAATATAGGCAACACGGAACAGTAGACTAACCTATGGGGAAAAAAACTCAGCTTTAATTTAGAGTTTTAACATGTCATTGATTATAGATTAAATTGTCTTCATTAAATTCAATAAACAAATGAATAAAGGAAAATTCATATTTGTCATCTAATATTTGAGGACGCTACTCATCACAGAATCATAATATATGACATGTATTCCACCTAGCGGTAAAACACAGTAAATGCAACTATATTTTAATATTTTATTAATAGAATAGAATAGAATAGAATAGAATCAATAACAGTTTAGTCACTTAAAAAAAAAAATTCCACACAAAATACCCTGCATTGCAGGATCAATTATATAGTCTCCTGTCAGGCAGTATAAATAGCTATTTATTGATTAGCATATTTTTGTTAGATTCAGACACATGCTTTTCAGTTTCTGTGAATTATGTTGGGGCAATAATCGCCTCTGTTTTTAATGGTTTTGGGCCAACCGAAGGGATTTTGAACCACTAGATGGCAGTAAAGGACCAAGTATGGGCATTATGTTGTTTTGAAATTGAATTATGCGTAAATTCAGCAGTATAATTTGTTAAAAACTGCAGTAGTAATCGGTTTAATTCTCGTGACGCAACTGCTCATGAATAACTAATAATAAACAATCAAAATAGTGATCGCATCAGACAGACCAAATTAATCACTTTTGTATTATTATTTGTATTATTACAATTAATTTTGTAAAACATTGTTATTGAGGCGCATCACTAGTTTACTATCGCATAATATAACGGTTAAAATGTCCTGAGTGTTTTATGTCAAACGTTTGTCAGCAGTTTCGTTGAGTGAAGAAGAACAGAACCAATAAAATCGCAGATAAAGTTTCTAAGCACCGCCTTCTTGTGGCGTCGCATCTACTGAGTAACCAATTGCAGCCGACTGGAGGAGGAGCCAAACAGCTCTGTCAAGCACACTTGAGAAGGGTAAACAGCTCTCACCTCATGGACGCAAAGAGAGCTGGACAGTGAGCACAGCCACATATTTGCCTATTCTGGGGGTAAGTACCAATAAATCTCAATTCTTAGGATGAATAAATTTACATTAAGGTATATTACTAATTGATTGATAATCTGGAATGAAAAGAGCGCGGATTGTTTTTAAGCAACGTGTACTTTAGAACAGTGGCGTGCCCAGAGACCTCCGGAGGGCAGGGCAAAACTCACGTGTCGTTTGTTGCATGCTTCCTATCACGCGTTGATCTGAACTCGAATCATATTTTACATGTATATAATATTTCTGTACATATAGATTGGTGAGGTTACACGTGCATTGTGCATGTGTTTTGATTCTGTCCACGTGGTAGTGGGAACATTTATATATTGGCCTTTTAAAATTCCTTTAACTAAACAACTCTGCAGTAATATTGTGTAATCTATTAATTACGCTGTTCATTGGTATGCAAAACTCTGTCAAAGCACAAGATCTGTTTACACTACACATTTTCCCTTCCTGTTTAAATGCTCTGCTCTAGGATTGCAGGTTATATTTTGTGCTGGAATTCATGCAAAACAGTAAGCGTTGGCACAAACAAGTTGAGATATGACATGCATGATTTATTTTTATTTTTATCTTAATCAGTATTTTGTCTTGTTTTCCAGGGAATATATCTAAACGTCTTCACATTTGAGAGGCAAGATAATATATCTTGAATTAAGTTGATTTTTCTTACCCTATTTGCAAACTAATTGAAGAATAATCATAATTCTAAAAAGAAAAATGCTCACAACTACAAAAAAACTGTTTGCCAGTTATGTAAAAGATAAGTGTAGTTCAAAATATATTTCCTGAAAGGTTAAAAAAAGTCTCACATAAATTTGCTTCTTAAGTACAATTGTCTCATTTTAAGGATGTTTAGATATTTTTAAAGGAAAACAAAACCACGATACTGACTAAAATAAAAATAATTTTTTTGCAGGCCATTCTGTGCAGTTTATGCAAAGCAAGCTCAGAGATGTGTTAATGAAATAAAGGCAGCTGTTGTGGAGATCTCCTCTTTGTAAAACCTGTAAGCCTTAAGCCAAATCTTTGTTTATCATCTTTTTTTGCAGAGCTGCTTGGATACTAAACGTAAGCACTGGCCTAGAATTTAACTTAAATGACCCGAATGCAGGGCACAATTAATGTAGCTTGTTTTCTTTTTGCATTATTGCTTCACTGCAAATGCAACTAATGCAACAGGCAGGCAGATGACAATTAACTTATAAAAATAATTGCTTATTTTAATAATTTATATACATTTAATATATATAAATGCAGTTTTATAATATGCTTAATTAGTGAATTTTAGTATATATTAATGTATTATTATATTTGATTATTGATGTATTTATAGATATAATGAATTTAAATATTTATGAACGATTGTCAGATATGATTGTGTCAACAATCCTGTTAACATATTATTAACTAGGAACCATGTGCCACTTGTTTTTGGTTCAGTAACTCACAACCTGACCTCATGCAAACAAAAAGAAAGAAAAGGGGTGTTTCCCCTAACAAACTGTCTGATTGGCTGTGATTTTCATATATTGTTTGGGTTCACTTATACTAGTGTGGCCTCTTGGTGATTTCCTGCCACATGTCCTGCATCTCAAAGCATATTTCAACCTGTCATCACTCATGTTCCGCTTCTATATGACATAACAGCTGTGATTACCTTGCCATAGAAGAGGGTGTCCTAAAATGTCTTGACACCTCAGTGTGTGATGTATTAAGAGGCCTGTCCTGTTTTGGGGAGGAGCAGCCATTGTTTTGGCTGTGAAGGAAATGAGAGGGCGTTGACAGTTGAAAGATATGAGATGGCCTAAGATTATCTGACACTTTCTTTGTAGAACTTTATGCATAGTCATTAATATCATACACAGATATTTTCATTGATTTCAAGCATCACATTTGCAAAGTTTTTGCATTTAATGTGTTAAATATCCCTACATCTCACTGACCACCCATTCCATAGAAGCCTGTAGCACTGGTGAATTGACCTCTGTGAGCCTTTCCAGTAAGTTAAAAGGCTGAAACTTAAGTATGTTGATTTCAGGGTCCTCTGATGCTTTACAAAATTCATTTGGCTAAGCTGAAAAATAATTTACTGAATGTGAATAACATAAAGTGTGCAAAACAAAGGTCAATTGTTGCATTTCTGCAGCATCATTGCAGTGGGGTGCGTCGTGATACTCTTGTGAACGCACGTCGAAGACTGACACGGAAGAGAAGAAACTGAATAAAGTTATTTTTGCGCACAAAAAGTATTCTTGTAGCTTCATAAAATTAAGGTTGAACCATTGATGTCACATGGACCATTTTAGCGATGTTCTTACTTCCTTTCTGGGCCTTGAATGTGTCAATTGCGTTGCTGTATATACAGGGTCAGAAAGCTCTCGGATTTCATCCAAAATATCTTAATTTGTGTTCAGAAGATGAATGAAGATCTTACAGGTTTGGAACGACATGAGGGTGATTAATTAATGACAGAATTTTTGGCTGAACTGTCCCTTTAAAAAAAGTGAAAGTTAACAAATTCCAAAATTTTGAATGGTGTTGTAGTTTGACGCTTATTGAATGTAAGTCTGTATATTCAGTTGCCTTAAACATGTTGCAATTGTGCCACAGTGGGTCTCTGAAGCTTAGGCGATGTACACCTTTGTTAACCAGCAGTGCGTTTAGTGTTTGCAGTAAGCATTGTCAGTTTAAAATGCTAAATGTCTCAGGTGCAAATATGCAGATATGTCCAGGCATGTGCAACCTCTCTCCGCATGTAACAGTACTGAATGCTCCAGAGCCAGACTGCTTTTAAAATGAAAACAAAATACTTCCTTGTTTTCTAGTGTCATATCTTCCGGTCGGCTACTAAGGGATGATCACGTTGCAGAATTAAGTATGTGACTACAATGTTACGGAACATTGAATTTTGACCTGTTTTCACACATGAGGTGTGTTTATATCCCGCCAAGTTGCTCAAGGTCTTTTTGAGAGCTTTTTCCTTGTAGGCAAACCTTTACGTCAGGAAAGAGTCCGTTTAAAGCCCTTTATTTACAGGAGAGTCAAGCTCTCATCCATCCCTAAGCTTGTTTGTGTCTGCACTCCGAAGTGTTTACTGCTGCATTTTCCACCTTGCTATGTAAGTAAAGAACGTTTTATAGTGGTGAGCTGGCATAATACAGAATAATAACCCTTTCATCATGAAGTTTTACAGTGGTGCTTACTAGGAGTGTGCGATGATGACAAAAAATTAATTTAGTAGATAACGATAATTTGACTATTTTGCTGAGCATGTTCTTGTGCTCATGTTTTGGCAGGTTTAGGACTGCCGTGGACCGCTGACTCCCAAAGCTTTTGATATTCTTCATATTCTGTGCGGTGGTTAGTTTGCAGGAGTAACAGAAATTCCAATAAGTTTAAATTTATACCTTTTATGGGCATTTGTACCTTGATAAGGCCAGTTTTTTTCTAACCTAATTAAATGTGTACGTTATCTTTTGTATCAAATTCTTAAAGGGGTCATATGACGTTGCTAAAAAGAACATTATTTTGTGTATTTGGTGTAATGTAATGTGTTTATGCAGTTTAAGGTTAAAAAAACACATTATTTTCCACATAATGTACATTATTGTTTCTCCTCTATGCCCCGCCTTTCTGAAACGCGTCGATTTTTACAAAGCTCATCGGTCTGAAAAGCAAGGTGTGCTCTCATTGGCCAGCTATCCAGTGCGTTGTGATTGGCCGAATACCTCAAGCGTGTGACGGAAATGTTACGCCCCTTACCATATTGTGATGCCATGCCAGCGACGAGACAAAACCAATAAACCCCATTATAAACGAGGCATTCGTTGCATCCAGTGGGGACATAATTACTTATTATAATGACTTATACTGTCTTTTTACACGTTGCGTTGCGTATCGCGCTGCGTAAACATAAAACCATGTCTGCATTTGTGATCGGAGAAATGACAAACTACAAGCACTACTCTACACTGCTCAAAACTCGCGTTTGAATCGTCAGTGGCAAATTCTTTAAATATGAAAACTTACTTACAGGCTGTAAGCACCAGACTGTCTTTCCAAGGTTGGAATTGCCCCACTTTATAGAAACAGACACCGCATTGTAGGCTACTCTCTCAGGAAACAGTCCTCATCCTTCATAAAATGCGCTGCACACATCTGAATATTTGGGTTGAACTGTTCCGGAACAGTGTTGTAAATACAACTTAACCACTGATTTCTAGTTGTGTCCTCTTTTGGAAGGCCAAACAAAGTAGTTTCACTTTCACAACGAAACGCACAGCGTTACAGGCATTTACAGACTGTTTAACGCGGGACATGAATGCAGTTAACCTGCAGTTACAAATGCATAAATAATAAAAAATAAAAAAAAACGTTGAATACTGATATTTGAAGTGATTTTGGGGAAAAAAGGAAAATATACTTTAAATGTAAGTCAGTAGGTGGTGGCAAATCACTGCATGAGTGAGTCATTGACTCATTGAATCATTCATTCAACTGATTTGTTCAAACGGCTGATTGATTCAGTAACGAAACACCACTGTGTGTTGCTCAGAGACGCAAAACTGTTCTACTGTGGCTTTGTTTGAAACCATTTTCGTTGACGAACTTGTCTAAAATGTAAGTCAATTTATATGAACTTCTTGTTTATTGGACTCTTATAAATATCACTTTTGCAATCTTACTGATATTTGGAGAAAAAACCTGAACTCTGTGTGTTTTAAACTCTTATCATATTATATAAATATAAAAGACAAGTCATAAGGGGGTATATTGTATTTTGGAGCAATTCTAAATATATTTTAATTGACACGCAGTGGAAGCGTGAACTAAATGTGCTCAAACTGTAGTTTAACGTACATCTCATTGTATGCGTGCACTCTCTGGGTGTGTTTTTGTTTGGTTTTTGCTAGGGATGCACCGATACTGGTATCGGGCCCGATACTGAGCTCCTGTACTCGTACTCGTTAAAATGCCCCGATACCAAACGCCGATACCACTGTCTTCAGCTTGTCCAAAATGCTGTGGCCAGACTTCTTTTGAAGTGTCGTAAACATGAACACATCACTCCAATTCTTAGATCTCTACACTGGTTGCCGGTTTGTCAGAGAATAGACTTTAAAATTCTCCTCTTTGTATATAAATCCCTACATAACCAAGCTCCTGTCTATCTATCTGACCTTCTTTACTTCTATTCTCCGTCTAGAAGCCTACGATCCTGTGACCAGGCCTTGTTGGTGGTCCCTCACGTTAGGCTTAAGCGTAGAGGGGAGCGTGCATTTGCGGTGGCAGGGCCACGACTCTGGAATACCCTTCCTTTAGAGATTAGAATGGCCCCTTCTTTGTCTGTTTTTAAGTCCTTGCTAAAAACTTATTTGTTTTCCTTAGTGTATTGACTACTGTGATATGGTAATTTTTAAATGTGCGGTTTTAAATTTTTGTCTGGTTTGTTCTCTGTGTATGTGGTAAAATTGTTGCTCTTCTGGAAAGCACTTTGGTCAGCCTGGTGGCTGTTGTATATGTGCTCTACAAATAAAATGAACTTGAACTTCATTGATGTTCGCTCACTTAGCACGCATCATTTGGATTAAAACTAAATTATTTATAGGGGCATTCACTATAAACGTCATTTATTTTTACTAGGGGTCGACCGATATGTGTTTTTCAAGGCCGATGCTGATACGATTATTACAGATCAAGTAGACCGATAACCGATATTTTGAACCGAGAGAGAGGGAGAGAGTGCGCACTTCTGTTGTGTGATCTTTATTTAAAAAACAATTCCACTGCGATTACTTCTCTTCTGAAATGTTTAGAGGTTAAATCATGGCTAGCCCAAAATTTCCTCTTCCTAAATGAAGACAAGACCGAGGTAATTGTTTTCGGTCCAAATGATAACTCTCAGTGTATAAGCCCTGAGTTAGAAAGTTTATCCGTTTTTAGATCCTCGCGGGTGCGGAACCTAGGTATTCTAGTCGACCAGCATTTAAAATTTGATAAACATATCTCTTCTGTCATTGGGTCCAGTTTCTATCAGCTTCGTTTACTGTCTAAAGTTAAAAACTTTCTCACTCCAAAAACTCTAGAAATGGCTGTTCATGCGTTCGTTACGTCTCGTCTAGATTACTGCAATTCTTTATATTGCGGTATATCTAAATCTCAAATTGCGCGTCTTCAGCTTGTCCAAAATGCTGCGGCCAGACTTCTTTTAAAGTGTCGTAAACATGAACACATCACTCCAATTCTTAGATCTCTACACTGGTTGCCGGTTTGTCAGAGAATAGACTTTAAAATTCTCCTCTTTGTATATAAATCCCTACATAACCAAGCTCCTGTCTATCTATCTGACCTTCTTTACTTCTATACTCCGTCTAGAAGCCTACGATCCTGTGACCAGGCCTTGTTGGTGGTCCCTCACGTTAGGCTTAAGCGTAGAGGGGAGCGTGCATTTGCGGTGGCAGGGCCACGACTCTGGAATACCCTACCTTTAGAGATTAGAATGGCCCCTTCTTTGTCTGTTTTTAAGTCCTTGCTAAAAACTTATTTGTTTTCCTTAGT